GCCCCCACCACGTCCCTGCTGTCCCCATATGTGCCCCCACCACATCCCTGCTGTGTCCCTGTGGTCCCCATGTGTGCCCCCACCCTGTCCCTGCTGTGTCCCTGTGGTCCCCCTGTGTGCCACCACATCCCTGCTGTGACCCCACTGTGTTCCTGCAGTCCCCATATGTGCCCCCACCATGTCCCTGCTGTATCCCTATAGTCCCCATATGTGCCACCACTACGTCCCTGCTGTGTCCCTGCAGTCCCCATATGTGCCACCATGTCCCTGCTGTCCCCATATGTGCCCCCACCATGTCCCCACCATGTCCCTGTGGTCCCCATATGTGCTACTACATCCCTGCTGTGGCCCCACCACATCCCTATAGTCTCCATATGTGCTACCATGTCCCTGCTGTGTCCCTGCAGTCCCCCTATGTGCCACCACATACCTGCTGTGACCCCACCATGTCCCTGTGGTCCCCATATGTGCCCCCACCACGTCCCTGCTGTGTCCCTATGGTCCCCATATGTGCCACCACCACATCCCTGCTGTGCCCCCACTGCCCTCATAGTGGTGCCTCCACGTCCCCCCCCCATCCCCAATGTCCCCCATTGTCCCCTCTCTTGACGCCACCGTGTCCCCTCCACATCCCTCCCCCCCTCCCTACTTTGTCCCCCCATGGTGTCCCCAATTGTCCCCCCCCACTGGTGACACTGCTGTCCCCACAGGTGGAGTTGGCCACGGGGCAGTTCCCATACCAGAACTGCAAGACGGACTTCGAGGTGCTGACAAAAGTGCTGCAGGAAGACCCCCCCCTCCTGCCCCCCGCCATGGGCTTCTCTGGGGACTTCCAGGCCTTCGTCAGGGACTGGTGGGTGACAGCCCCCCCCTTTCCCCCCCCCTCAGTGGGGATGTTTTGCCCCACAGCCTTGTCCCCGAGGTGCTGACACACTGCCCTCTCCCACAGCCTCACCAAGGACCACAGGAAGAGACCAAAGTACAACAAGTTACTGGTGAGTCCCACACGTGAGTCCCGGATCTGTGGGGCTGGGGGACATGCAGGAACCTGGGGATGTTGTCTGCACGTCCCTCTGGGTGTCCCCATGTCTGTGTCCCTGTGTCCCATTGTCCCCGTGCTCGTGTGTGTCCACATTCCTGATCTCTCCACTCTCATGTCCTCAAGTCCCCACATTCTTGACATCTCCTCCATCTCTGTGTCCCCATGTCCCTGTGTTCCTACAAGTCCTGTGTCCCCATGTCCCCAATCTCTCCATCCTCATGTGTCCGTGTTCCTGACCTCTCCCCCCAGTTCTGTGTCCCTGTGTTCCTACAAGTCCAGCATCCATCTCCCCACATCCATTTCCATGTCCCCAACCTCTCCACCCTCATGTCCCCACACTTCTGACCTCTCCCACCTGTGTCCCATGTCCCTGTGTTCCTACAAGTCCTGTATCCATGTCCCCAAATCCATTTCCACCTCCCCATATTCCCATGTCCCCAACCTCTCCACCCTCATGTCCCCACATTCCTGACCTCTCCCCCCATCTCTGGTCCCTG